TTATCATTTTTCCCTTCATTCTTCTCGTCCTCATTCTCCATCTTTACACAGTGTTTAAAAAGTCAATTAAAGGGGCTGGGGATGTGGCTCAAGCGGTAGCGCGCTCGCCTGGCATGCGTGCGGCCCGGGTTCGATCCTCAGCACCACATACCAACAAAGATGTTGTGTCCACCGAGAACTAAAAAATAAATATTAAAAATTCTCTCTCTCTCTCCTCTCTCACTCTCTCTTTAAAAAAAAAAAGTCAATTAAAGCATACTCAGGAGGCTGAGGCAGGAGGATGGTGAGTTCAAAACCAACTCAGCAACAGTGAGGCACTAAGCAACTCAACGAGACCCTGTCTCTAAATAAAATACAATAAAGGCTGAGGATGTGGCTCAGTGATTGAGCGCCCCTGAATTCAATCCCCAGTACCAAAAAAAAAAAAAAAAGGCAAAACCCCTGATGCTGATGAGGGATAATGATTGCTAAGAGTTTAGTATTATTCCACACAATTTTGGATACTAGAAATGCATATCATCAGAAACAATACTAAGACAGTACTGCTTTGTTGCTATTTTTCAGCCAGAAACCACCAGGGCCAGAAACACAGGTGTAGTCCAGTAAGTTGGGTTTACTCTTCTTTGTGGTGAGGGGAAAAGTACACCACAAAGAACTGTGGGCTATCAGTTGGAGGATATGAAAGAGAACTTATTATGGAACTCAGGCTTACGGTATGTGGTTTGAAGAAAGCAGGGCATTGCTTGGCCTGGATGACATCAGGACACAGGGCAATTCTATGACTAGGTATCTGAATAAATCTCATCTAGAATTTAATCTAACACAAATGGCATTGCTTCTTTACCATTAGCCTAGATAGGTGGATGCTTGGTCATTTTTGTTGTTTGGCCGATATTCTTGTTTGTGCCTGTGTCTGTGATCAGACATGATCATGGAGTGGTTTCATTTTCATCTTTATCTATTATTTTTCAAACTTTATTGTATTATGTTAATACCTTTATTTCTATTTATTTATTATATGTGGTACTGAGGATCAAACTTAGTGTCTCACATGTGCCAGGAAAGCACTCCACCACTGAGTTACACCTTTAGCCCCTTGGTCTGTTATTGACACTGAGTATCCTTATCTAGTGTTGATGTTCTGTGATGTCAGTCAAGTCCAATGGAACACTAACTAAATGACTTTGAGCAAGTAACTTCTCCTCTAAGCCTCAATTTCCCTGACCGAAAAGTGTAATTATGCCAGTCTTTCTAAGGTTGAGTTTAGTGTTTATAGTGTTTAGCCCAATGCTTGTGCCATATTTAACAAGTTATAATATTTTAGGACATCATCATCATCATTAGTACTATTACTATTTAAGGCAACTATTAAAATTTAGGGCATTTATGCTTAGAAAGGGATGTTAGATCTCCCAGGGACACTTTCATTCTTTCACTCTGAAAAAATGAGCAGGAAAGACCTACCTGTGAACAACCAGACATAAAGAAAGAAAAGAAGAATCTAGGCTGGAGTTCAGAACTCAAAAGAGAGAGAGGAATATTTAACTGTATAAGGGGTCACCACAAAATCACCTGTTGCAGGGCATCAGCCTGGGAGGCAGAGGATCCCAGAGGCTGTGACGTGGCACTGTAAAACCAACAGAGCTGGAGCTATGTGGACTTCTGTAGGAATACTCAGCTGACATCACCTTTCAGCAGGGCCCTAATTCTTTCCATTATTCACAGTAAGCCAGCTCAGAAATGGCCATATTCATTAATTTAACAAATATCTATTTATTATTATTTATTTATAAATATTATTATTAGATACTCAATACTTACTATCTACCATATGTCAGGCACTGTTCTAGGTACTGTTGATATATCAGTGAACAACTTTCCTTAAAGAATTGGAGCTTATCTATCAAGCACGCTTACTTGTGTCTCGGCTTAAGTGGTGAATGAATGCCAAGTCCCCTTTTCTTGGGTATGCAGGGAGAATTCAGATGAATCCATGTGAGGCAGTTAAAAGCCCATACTTGACAGACATGCAATGTACTTGTGAAGGCCTGAGCTTTCACCGTGAGTTAGTTCTCTGCCTCAACCTCCCTGACTACACAGGTCCAATCAGCCTCCTCAAACTCTTCAGGGAATCCTTGGTGTTTTAAAAATCAGCTATGATAAAACAGACATGGAAATAACTATCATCAAGGTAGAAATTTATTCTTACAGATCCCTAGAAGTAGGAGGCATAGCATTCAAGGGGGCCACAAGGGGAAGCACCAGAATCAGTCGGGAAGCTCGGGGAGCAGAAGAAAACCTGGGCTAGAGCCTTTACTGTGGGAAGGGATAGGAAAGGCAGGATAAGCAAGTTTAGGATTGGCTAGATTGAATAATTCCAGTTGGCTCTAGGGCATAGGGGCTGTCTCTAGTTGTCTGTACCTGGCCCTGGAGTGATAGAGCAGGGGGATAAAAATCCAGCACTGAAAAGCCCTGAGAGATCTTAATAAAGGAGATAGTTGGGGTAGGGGCTCTGGATTGAGTGGTGTACATATAAATGTTCATCTTCAGGCAAGTCCTTTGTCCGACGGAGGGATGTGTCTCCAGAGTCAGCAAGCCCCCAAATAACAAAGCATCAAAAAATACCAAACATAGCTGAGCACTGTCACAAATGCCAGTAATTCCAGCTTCTCCAGGGCTGAAGCAGGAGGAGAATCGCAAGTTCAAGGCCAGCCTAAACAACATAGTGAGAGTTTGTCTCAAATTTTTTTTAAAAAAGGGCTGGGGATATAGTTGAGTGATAGAGCAACCCTGGTTTCAATCCCCAGTACTGCTGAAAATATGTGTATGTGTGTTTTTTATATATATATCATATCAATTTATACTATATATACACACACACACACTATATATATATGAATAACTGGAAATCACTGTGGCCAGATGTGGTGGTGCACACCCATAATATCAGTGACCGGACAAGAGGATCACAAGTTCACCATCAACCTCAGCAATTTAGTGAGTCCCTCTCTCAAAATAAAAATAATAATAGACTGGGGATGCAGCTCAGTGATAAAGTACCCCTGTGGTCAATCCCAGTACCAAAACAAAAACAAACTTATCAGAATGCCATATAATAACTGCATTAAACCCATTTTTTAAAAATACAGAAGATAAAAAGGCATAATAAATATACCTGAGGTGAACCTCAGTCCCGGGAGGATTTTATTCCCTATTTCTTCAACTCAAAGGACCTGTTTGAACCCAAGAGGGAAATGTTGGTCCTAGGATACAGTGGCATTTGCTGACTCCTGCTCCCACTCCAGGGGAAGGTGGGGAAAGACTTAGCTTGCAGTTGATAACTGCCGCTTCCTAGAGCCTGTGAGATGGTGCCAACCAGGACATAAATGAGGTCTGAGACTCATCTGTAGGCCTAAACCCTAGGCTCAGTCAGTTTAGGGAAAACGCTAGGCCCAGGGCTGGGAGCCCTGGTTTTCACTTATTTCTTCCCAGGGTCTGGAGCAGCCCTCTAGTCTGATCCCTTATCTTGACTCTTGCAAACATCTCTGCCTCCACCTAATATCCCCAGGGAGTTGAATCATTCTCTGTTGCTTTCCCTCTCAAATCCCAATCAGGACCTGATATTTCACATCAATCCTCTGGACTTGCTATTTACAACTTGCTGTGTTACAGAGAAGCCCCACCAGAGAGAACCAGAAAATTACAGAAAGATTTCTTTGTTGCTTTTATTGGTTCATTTTCCTCAAGCTGATGAAATCTGTTCCCAGTCAACCAAGAATAATCATCTGTGGCCATTTCTGGCCCCCCTCTGATGGGGCAGAGTAGCCAGGAGGGTCAGAGCCCAGTGGGTACTAAAAAAAAGCCCTTTCCTGACATTATCAAGGCCACTAGTCAACTTGCAGGACAGCTGGGGAAAGGGAAGGAGCTGAGGAAAGGGAAGGAGCTGGGAATTCCTAGGAAAGACAGTAGCTCTGCTTCCTGTTGACATCAAGGCTAGTGGTACGCTAGAACTGCCTTGGTATGTAAGAGCCAATAATGAGCATCTCTTTCTAGCTCTTACATTGGCAGCAGACCACTGGTTAGATGTGGCAAGCTGAGAATCAAATTTATGGACCCATAACAAGAGTAAAAAGCAGAGAAATTTGAGATTGAAGGTCTTAAGTGGGCAATCTAGGGAGATAACACAAACACAAGACTCCCCCAACAGCTGCTGTAATATATAAATCCAGCAGGCCCCTGACTGCCAGAATCCTAACAATCCTCCCTGCAGCGACATAGGGGGGAAGACCTTGGTTTGCCCAACCCTGCACCCTCCTTCCGTGCCCTTGTCCATGGTCTTCTCCCTTCCACACCCCCAATCCAAAGATGATGCAATTGGCCATATTTCTTCCAAAGTTGGTTTTGCATTCCTATGCTAACCCTCAATCTTGGGGCTTGAATTTTCCACCAACTAAGATGGGGTTCCCTTCCATTTATACCTGTTTAGCCTTCCTCATTTTTCTTACATTCATCATGCCCCAGTTCTCCAACCACAGCCACAGTTCAAGGACCACAGGGCCCAAATCCACTGTGATCTAGCTCCTTCTCTCCTTAAAAAAACAAAACAAAACAAAAAAAAAAACACTCTTCTTTACCCTCACCCCACAGATTCCTGTCCCCTTGGAAATCTCTTCTCCTGCAAAGGGAAATCAACCCATAACCTCAAACAAATAGGGCTGCAGGAGGATTAACCAAATAGCATGGTGCCTCCCTCCACCCCCATACAAGGACCATCAGGTCACAAAGGTCAGACACATCTGAAGTTTACAGAACTCACAGATCTGCCTAAAACCTACACACTGGCTAAGATCTGGCCAGAGATGACCCAGGACAAGCTGTCTGTGAGGAAGTGGCCCTCTTTCCACTGCATGGGAATCACAGTGGTTGCATCTGTCATGGTTATCACATGGTTAAGTCATATGATTATGGCTTAATAAGTCATTGTTTATAATAACAGGATCTACTGGTACAGACAGTGCTTTATTTTTTATATATTTTCTCATTTCATCCTTGCAGCAACCTTGAGGTAGGTATTATTATCCCCACTTTACAGGTGAATAAACCAAGGTCCCTAGGTTAGATTACATATCAAAGATCATATTATTAGTGGCAATACCACTGATAACTCCAAACCCAAGGGGACTCTAGTAGTTCACAGGCTGCTGCCAAGGAAAACAGAGCAGAAAACTGGTAAGGGCAGGATCATTCACTGGAGTTTCAGGGGATCCCTCACCAGGGATGAATGAGGCACATACACAGGCCAAGACCGGGACTGAGCAGGAGAAGCCTAGAGCACGCAGGAGTTGTGAAGCAGGAAGAGGTCTGGGTATTTGGTCAGAGTTGACAGTCTCTTCAAATGTGCACAGAACCCAGCTTCCATGGACAGAATAAACAGGCTTCCAGGAGCAGTAAGTCCAGGGACTGGCCACAGGCAGCAGGGCAAGGCCAGGAGGAGCTGCCACAGAGTGGCACCCCCTTGGCTTGGCCCAAGAGTGGTCACCACAGGCAGTGGTCCTTTAACTTTATTAAGGCCTTGAGAATCTGATGAAATCCATAAAACTTCCCCCAGAAAAAAACAGACACACAGTACAGACAATATTTTGCATACAATTTTAGGGAGTCCACAGGCCCCAGGTGGGTTACTCCTGCTTTGCGGCAATGGTATCACCCTGAGTAAAGTCACTGATGCACACCTATCTTTAAGCTGCTTACATGTCCTGTGACTGTTCCCCCTTTTGTCATCCCCTAATATTTAGAATGTTGTTAAGTTCATTTTTACTGGGAGTAAAGGAAAGGGGCTTCAGCCTACACTGCAGCCAGGGAAAGAGCAGCTGTGGCATGGCAGTGGTGGCAGCCAGAAGGCAAAAACAAAGAGAAGGATGGGGTCACATGTACCGCTGCCCTTCCCACCTAGAAGGTCACTTCAGGAGCTTTTCTCTACCCAATTTTACAGAAGGGTTGTAGGGAAGTGGGGAGAAGGGCAGTGTTTAGTTTCCTTTTGGAAAGGAAAGCCATTTCCTGACTGGCTACAGGGTATAAGTTCTGCAGGCAATGACCCATTCCAACCTTCCCTCCTCTACCCCCACCCCTAAAACACCTAAGCTTCGGCCCAGTCATTCATACACACGTGGCCATGTCTCCTATGAATACCAATGTATTTACACCTACTCTTTCATGGAAGGGAAAATGGGACAGGAAGAATCTCAGGGCAGAGGTTTCATGTTGATGCATGGGGATCATGCACTCCCCACAGAAAATCACTAAACTGGAGAATCAGCAGAACCACCCTGAGGAGTCAGTGCACATTAGCCCTACCCACCTCCATGGCTCTTCCTTCTGGCCAGGCCCACCCAGAGCAGTCACTGCTCTGAGCCCCTCCCCAAACCTAATGGGCTCAAGATAGGAGGTCAGGGTTGAAGGGTTACAAAGGCTCAGAGGTGGGGAGGGGAAGCTGGATTCCCTGCAGAGAGCAGTTCTGATTTTTCATGGGAATCACAATCGAGGCAAAAACCCTTCCCCAAGTCCATCAAGGCCTGGAGAGGGCAGACACTGAAATCTAGGTGATCACTCAGATTCAAAGAACACTGGGAGGCCAGGATGGTCTTCCAGGCCCCGTGACCCTGGTCTCAGTGATCACTTTGTTTCAGTGGTCATTCATGCACTAGTGGTCACCTGCCTGGCTCTAGATGGATGTTTCATCACATGTGGCTAGAGGAGCCCCAGTTAGCCGAACGTGGGCTGGGCTCGGGCAAGGATCAAGCAGGAAGGGTGGAGGGAAGCCACCAAAGCCACTGCCCCTCTTGGCCAGGGCCAGAGGCAGCCGTTCATCTTCAGGAGAAGGAGAGGGAGGGTCTTGGCTGTAGCTTGTGGTCCCAGATGGTGGGGCCCCCAGGTCCAAGCCCACCTTGTCTCTAGCCAGAAGTTCCCTCTGTCGCTGTCGTTGCTGATGCCGACCAATCAGGAGGAGAGTCAGGGATGCTGCAAGAACCCCCAGGAAGAAGCCAACCAGTCCAGCCCCCACTGTGCGGGCCCGGCTTGCAGGGGCTTGTTGGCTGCCCCATACCAAACTGTAAGCTGCAACCACACGGGCTGCCCCACCCTCCTGACATTCACAGGCATAAGCACCCATAGCCCCTGGGGTCACCACCACCTCTAGCCCATCCCGCCGGGGGGTGAGTGCAGTCACTCCACTGGGCTGGTGCCACACACAGGATGCCCATGCCGAGCTGGGGGAACATGGCAAGACCACATGTGCAGCTGTAGCCACCGGAACTTCAAACACTACGGGGTGTTCTGCAGAGAGACAGCACAGGCACAAAGGTGATGAAGCTATAGTCTGGGGGTACAGGAGAGAGAAATGTGGGGTGATATCAGATATGAGATGGGGACAAAGCTGAAAAGGGGATGCCCAAAAAGGATAAGGCCCTGGGACACTGGCTGCCGTGTCTTCCAGGATCCAAATTTTAAAGTAGGTATAAAATGGACAACTTTTAAATCCTTTTTAGCCACTCCACCCACAGTTTTCATAAACCATACAGACCTCCAGGCTCTTTGGGACACAAAGAAGAAACATCCGCCGACTCCATGTCTTGGACCAACCTAAAGAGAGGAGAATACTTGTTAAATCCATTCTTTTCTACCCTCCTCAGTATCACAGAACATTCACACGCAGATTACATTTCTATCATCAAATAAATCACCCCTAGAATTAGTTAACATTCTCCTCATCACCTAAATTTTCCCCAATACCTCATATTCCTCATGATATCTGCCATATCAAATTCTACATATATTTCTAGAAGCCCATGGTCTGCTAGAAAGGTGTTTTGTGGGTGAGCTTTAAAACAAATGAGAATATTTGATCTCCAACACAATACCAACAACAAAAATGCCAGGCACAGAGGTGCATATCTGTAATCTCAGCGACTCTGGAGGCTGCAGTAGGAGAATCACAAGTTCAAGTCCAGCCTTATCAACTTAGTGAGATCCTGTCTTAAAACAAAAAAATAAAAAAAAGGTTGGGATATAACTCTATGGTGGAGCACCCCTGGATTCATCTCCTAGTACTGCAAAAAGAAAAAAGAAATAATAATCTTCTAAAAAATGGACCTGATTGTCCACAACCACAAGATTTTTTTTCGGGAGAGACACACACACAAACACACACATAAACTAGAGGTTTTTTTTTTCTCTTTTTCTGTTTAGAAAAACAGCAAATTCCTTTTCTATAAATGCTAATCAAAATCCTGTGAGGATGAGATGACTTTTAATTTCATAAAGTAGCTTGTCTATGGAGGAACTCACTTTCTCCAACAGCTATTAATATATATTGGCCCTGATGTTTCAAACAACACAATCTGATATTTCCACGATGTGGGTGAACAGTAATGGCAAGATGGACCACTCACTGCTGAGCTCTATGGCATCACTCTCAGAGGTATGGATACCAATGAGATCTCTACTAAGGCTGTCAGTGAAGGCCAGGTAAAAAGTCTGAACACCTGAAAGCCTAGACTAGAGGCAGACTCCATTTGAGTGTGAATTCCTTCAGTATAAATTAAAGTCCCTGAAATAAGCTCCAAGAGTGGTATGAATGAACACAAATTTCCAGGGTAAAACAAGGCTGGCTGTTGAGTCTAATAGTAAGTGGGAAATACGGGAAGACCATATGTACAGCTGTAACCACAGGAATGTCATAGTCTGTTTTTTTCTCTTTTGGATGAACTGATATAAAGGGCAGAATGTTCAAAAGTATCAAACTAGGACACTGGCATATACACACACCCCATGCTCCTCCTCTTACACCCTTCAAACTCACATATATCCCAAAGAGAACCTTTGAGGCTCAAATACAAAGGACACCTAAGGCCAGTAAAATTTTTATTTTAATAAATATTATAACAAGAAAGGAAAGAATAAACCATTTTCTTTTCTCTAGACATTTAAAGTTTTTCCAAAAGAAACTAAAAGACCAGGTCACAGTTCTTGATTGAAAATGCAAAGCTGCCAGGCCTGGTGGTACATGCCTGTAATCCCAGCAACTCGGGAAGCTGAGGAAGGAGGATCCCAAGTTCAAAGGCAGCCTGAGAAACTTAGCAAGGTCCTAAGCAACTTAGTGAGACCCTGTCTCAAAATAAAAAATGAAAAAGGAGTGGGGATATGGATAAGTGATTAAGCACCTCTGGGTTTAATCCATCATACTAAGAAAAAAGAAAGCAAAGCAGGACAATCCTGCCCTCCTAGAATTACTTTATGTCCTCAACTGGCAAAATGTCAAGTCTGATTAAGAGATGGTACAAGATTTTACACTTATAATTAAAAATGAATATCAGAAAAACAAAATTAAATTTTATGAAAACACTGACTATATGTCAGTTATCATTTAAAGTTTCATGATCTTTTGACATTTGTAATTAATCTGTTTACTTCTAAAGGATTTGTAATATTGTGGTTCTACAGAATATCAGAGTTCTATAATATGCTATTGTTCCATTCACACTTGAGGTTCTGGGATACACAAATAGACTGTAAATTAACGAGGCTTCAAGCAGAGAAATCTCAAGGTTAAAAAAATGCATGCTCCAAACAATTGACCAAAAATACCCCATTGATATCTCAATTAAAGATTTAAAAACACTTAAAAAAACATATAAACCAGGGTTCGGGCTGTAGTTCAAATGGCAGAGTGCTTGCCTAGCATGCGTGAGGCACTAGGTTCGATCTTCAGCACCACATAGAAATAAAAAAAATAAAGGCATTCTGTCCATCTACAACTGCAATATATATATATATATACACACCAATATCAATTTTGATAGACATTACTTAAATTCCAACTTAGGTTATTTTTTAAGTGTATTTAGCTGGGGAAATTGACTAGGTATTTAATGACACTTAAGAAATTAAATTTTTGGTATGATAATGGTGATATCCATTATATAATATAATGATTATCTTTTTAAAAGAATCTTTCTAGGTTAGAGATACATGAAAAGATTTAAAGATGAAGTACCAGGATGTCTAAGGTTTGCTTCAAAACAATAGGTAGAAAGTGAGGGTGTTGATTAAAGCAAGATTGGCTAGGAGTTGATGTTTTTGAAGCGGAGGGATAAATACATGGAAACTCATTATATTAGTCTCTACTTTTGAATATGTTTAAAAATTCCTACAAAAAAGTAAAAATATTTTAAAGAGAGTCCTTATCTGGTAGAGATCTATGTTGAAATATTTAGGATGAACACAAACAATGTCAGGGATTTTCTTCCAAAATATGATGTGTATTTTTAAGTTAATTGCTAAATGGCAAGTGGATGATAGGAGCACAACATGAGCAAGAGAAGATCAATCAGGAGGTTATTAGAGCAGTCCAGTTAAGAAGTAATGAGCTTACACCAGGGTGGTAGCAGCAGAGGTGAAGGGAAGAAGGTGGACCTATGATAGGTTTGGGGGCTAGAATTAATACAAATTGCAATATAATGCACGTAAGGTCTGGCTTGAAAACCTGGAAAAAAGGGGGTCAGTTAATCAAGATAAGGACCAGAGAAGGAGCATGTGAGGGAAAAAGGAAAACAACAGTACAATCTCAGACTTGTTAAGTGTGAGTTGCTTATGAAGAATCCAAGGGGAACATCAGGTAGGCAGCTGGATAGGGAGTGTGTCTCAGCTAGAGACACATTTGTGGTCAGCAGTAGCACTCAGATGGCACTGATATAACCTAGAGAGAGTGTTGAAGTGTAAAGAGAAGGGGTCCAGGACTTAGCCCTGAGGAATACCAGTACTCAGCAGCTAGATGAGAAAGGAATCAATAGGGTGGCAGGAGAACACAGAGTCATAGAAGGCAAGAGAAGAGAGAATTTCAAGGAAGGAGGGAGTGGGAGACTGTGAAAACACCTCTGAGAGCCCCTATAAGATGAAAACTAAGAAGCATCTACCAGAGATAGATTCAGTCCCACTGTCTGACATGGAGTGTCATTGACTGTCATTTGACTAACATAGACTCAGTGCCACTATCAGCACAGGTCTAGCATAGCACAGAGGCAAAGACATTGATGAGACAGCACCAGATGAACAGACAGATGAATCAATATGGGCTGACAGATGGACACAAAAGTGATACAAACACTAACAGAAGAGAAATACACAGAGCAACAGGGTAGCATTAGCAGACTGAGAAGCAAACAGACATATGAATGGGACAGAGTTCTGAGACAAGAGTCAAGAGACCAGTCCAGCTACACTTACCCTCGGTGCTCCCCAGCATGGACCACACACGCATCTAGCCGGAAACTCCAGGCACAGACAGGGTCCTGGGCCAGGATGCACTCTGAGCAGCTCTGGAGACGGTCACAATTGGTTGTGTTCACTTGTATTACCTCAGTACTGGAGCCAATCAGGAGCCAACCCTACAGAAAGGGAATTGGAAGGGGAATGCTGAATCTCCCAGATCTCAGGATCACATAACTGGCTCTAGACTCAGATGTCTCTCCACCAGACTCGCCAAAAATCTACAACTCACATGGTACAATTTCATGTTCTCAATGGGCTGAGGCTCTGGGAATAAGGCCAGATCTTCAAGGACACTGAGCTGGGCTCCAATACGCACTGCTCGGTGGAGGTGTCCATCCTCTGGGAGGCAGCAAGGATCAAGAATAATGGCATAACTGTCTCTGTGCATGGGGTTCTGATGCCCGTATGTATTAGGGGACCCTCTGTGGGATGGGAGTATATAACATGCTTGACTGTTCAATGTACCTGTCCCCAGGTAGAGCACATCATACTCTTTCCCTGAGAGGCTGGCCACCCTGTGGGCCACGACTCTAAGATAGGCTGTATCCGTAGCAACCAGCAGAGGGTGGACGTCAGCTGGAGACACTGGCCTATCCATGAGTGGGTGGTCTCGGATGAAGGTGAGCACGCGGTCAGGAAGGGAGAGTGATGAGTCAAACTGCTGGAATTTCATGTTGTTGGTGATGCACTAAAGGAAACACAGGGCTTAGGGCGCCTCTTGCTCTTTAATTCAGGCCTGTGCTGAAGACCTGCACCCTCCCCCTCACCTCTCCAGGTCTGGGCTGGGGCACATCATTGTCCATGACAGGCTGTCCCCTACTGCAGTCATGCTTTAGCTCTCTGAAGGGGCCATCCAGCACTGTCCGAATGTCTTGTGGTCGAAAGGCACAGACAGCAGAGATTGCAGCCCCTTCCCTGAAAGAGTCACAGGTTGGAACCAAATATCTGGGGAGAGCTGAGGGACAGCAACTCATCCCTTGTAGAAAGAAAAGACCTCCTCTCTTGGAGGAAATGTGTGGGGAGCCACACAGCCAGTGGGGGAGGGTCCACCCCTCTGAGAGGACAGCACTGACACTGCACCAACCTCACAAATCTCCCACCCTGTAACTCTCCTTCTCACCACTGGAAGGAAAAGATGCCATAAAAGATAGGGGTCCCTGCTCCAGGCTCAGGTCGAAGCACAGCCATGTCCTGCAGGACACTGGAGGCCCGGCCATGCTCTGGCCCAGGACACAGTAGGTCAGCTTTCAGAAATGTCGTCCACCTCTGCTGGAGGGTCTTCCGGCCCCCAAGGTCTCCCTGGAGTGACAAGCACATGGTAAATTCTCTTTAGAAGACTAATCCTGGGCAAGAAGTGTAAAGATCAACCCAAGTTTCCTCCCTGACTTCAGGGTAGCCACAGACAGATGGGGAGACACAAAAATGCAAGGACAGACAGAGGAACTGTGAGGACAATGAGATACAAAGATGGATGAGGTCACAATTATAATGACAGTGATGAAGTCAATTGTGTACAGTGTATAAAGTGTTACCTTGTTTAGCCTTCAGATTAACCCTTACAGGTCAACACTGTTATTATCCTAACTCTACAGATGAGTGTCAAAGATGATAAAGGTCCTACCCAGGGTCACAAAGGCAGTAAGTGGTAAAGCAGGATTGAACTGAAGTCTGTGTGCTACCAGTTCATGCCTTTAGCCTCTACACATGTCCACCTCCTATGTCACAAGGATAATTGTGGAGGTGAAAGAGGCAGGGACCCTCCCCCACACTCCTCAAGCTCCCAAGGGGAAAAGAAAAATCAAGGCAGAGAAAAACATGAGACAGAGGAGAGATGCAAAGGCCCAGAGAGAAAAAGACAGGAAGAGAGCAGGAGACACCAAACAGACAGCTGGGATGGGGGTCTCACCGCACACACACGGGCCACCCGTGGGACCTTAATGCGCTCGTATGAGTCAAATGCTCGGGTAGTCTCAGTAAAGAAGAAGTAGATTTCGTCGTCTCCATCTTCATCCCCCCATTCGGCTGGGCTCAAGGCCACCGCTGCGACAAAGGCGGGGGCTGGGGAGACCAGTGGCCTCAGATCCTCACAGACACAGCTAGGATCACCCAATCTCCACCCAGTCTGTGCCCCAGGGCTCCCCTTCCCCTCTCCCCACCGTTAAGCCAGGATGGCAAGGTCTCTGTGCGAATCCAGTCCTCAGCACGACCCACAGCCCGAGAGATAATCGGCTCTGTCCCCAGGTAGTTTTTCACAGTGGCAGCATAGAGGACGCCCCCTGCAGGGCGACAGGGAGGAGACAAGGCATCAAAGACTTACTGAGGGAAGCAAAAGTGGTCACAGGCAGAGCAGGGAATAAAGCAGGGCAGCAACTTTCAGAACTGGGCACCCACTAAGTGCCAGACACCACTGAGTACATCACAGGAATCCCCTGATTACCAGTAAACATAGAAATAAACCTCCTGGGACAGTAAGGAAACCAGGGTTAAGGGAAACTGCTGGAGTGTCTACTAGCACAAAGCAAGAATGAAGGCCTCTCCTATGGAAACCAGGTTTGTTTGGGCAGTTTTGTGCTGTTACAATATGCTAACTAACTATATTGTGACTCTCCAGGAGGGGCATTGGCTTGTAGCACATTCCAGTCTTACGTCAGTTCTCCACCATGGTCAAGTCTAAGGAAATTAGTATTCTTTCTGAACATCGGTGGGTATGTACTGCCCTAGATCAGGTCACAAATGTAGGTTATACTAGAATTGCTAGGGGACTTGATAAAAATGCAGGTCCCTGGACCCAGCATTCTCATTCAAAGTTGGAGGCAGAGGTGCATCCCAAAAACCTGCATTTCAAAAACAAGCAATCAATTATTCTGATGCAAGTGATTCAGGCCTCCTTTGAAAACACTAGCCCAGAAGACGAATGGAGGTTTCACAAACAGCTGGAGAAGCAACAGAGGAATGGGGTCCTCCCTCCTGCACAGAAGAGGGGCAGAGGCATCACACAAATGGTGGGTATGGAAGAAGACAGAAATCCAAGACACTCTGGATCAGGAGGGAGGTGCAGCTCTGTGCACTGAGTGGGAAAGAACTATAGCCACCTCTAGTAACACTGTCAAGGACTCAAACTGAATCAGGGCAGCAGCAGGTCACGGACACCTGCCTAGAGTCAAGACACCAGGAGGCTTGAACTAATAGAGTGGATCCAGCTACCTCTTCCTAAAGGAGTAGCATCTCTGAAGAATGAGAAATTTGTCAGTAGGAAGAGGTCTTCACAAGCAGCAAAGAGGAAAACCACGTTTGGGGACATGGGACACTGGCGGCTAAAGCCCAGAGGGAGCTGTCATGCAGGGCAAGTGAGCAGAAATGAAGCTGGATGGATAGAGACGGGCACCAATTGTGAAGAGTCTCTTCTACCATGGGCTTTACCCTATTATTTACCCTATTATTAACCAAGCCAGGAAATGACAGGAGAAGGCCCATGATGGGGAAAGGTAGAGAGAAAGTGAGTTCAGCTGTCGGACAGACTAAGGGTTAAATGGCTTCAGGACATGGGTCAGAGATTCCAGAAGGCAATGAATAAGAAGGATCTGGGAAACAGGGCCAGAGTCAGCAACTTGGAAGTCATCACACATTCTGCTTAAGTCACAGCATGAATGACACAAAGGTAAGAGCCAGGAAGAAAAATAAAGCAAGGTCAGGAGACTGAAGAAGCAGGAGAAAGCAAAAGAGGCTGATGTGTATGAATGTACCACAATGAATCCCACCATGAATGTGTGGGTGTGGGTGTAAGTATTATTATAATGCACTAATTAAAACAACAATAATAACAGAAAGGATATCAATAGTGTAGGGCAATCAGATGAGGGGTAGGAGGAAGGGAAAGAAAAGGGAAGATACCAGGAATGAGATTAATCAGATTTTGTTACGTGCATGTATAAACATGGCATAATGAATCCCACTATTATGTATAATTACAACGTACCAATGAAAGTTTTTAATAAAAAAAAGAGGCTGTGTATTGGAAGCTGGTGCACAAAAATCTCAGCAAGGACCATGAAGGCTTGAGCTCACTGGCTTCCAGAAGCAGAAGAGAGTAGAACCACATGGAGAAAAGCAAAACCATCTTGGAGATGCTCCAGAGAAGCTGGTGTGCCACAGGCACTGGTAGGATAACCAGTCTTGAAAACTCAAGAGCAAAAAATGGCCAGGAAGCTTCTGAGGGCAGCAGAGAAGAGTGGAAAACATGGGTAAGGGTTAGGAAGGGCAATTGTTCCATCATTTAAAGTGTGGAAAGAATCTAAGTGTTTCAGGGCCAGGAAGACTTGGCTTGAAACCCTGAATATATACTTGTAGTATGATACAAATGAACTTCCCTCAACCTCAGGTTCCTCAAATTTAGAATAGAGATAAAAGTAAATGCTGAGGATTAGATGAGATAATTACAGAGCCCTAGCAAGGGTGTGACACATGGCAGTTATTCAGTATGTTAGTTATATCTCCTTATGAAATCTCAAAGGGCCATCTGCTTGACTTGCCAGAAGAGAGTGGGAGCTATAAAATGACAACCCATTATCTTCCAGAGAATTTCTGGAAATAAAAAACAAACATTGGTCATAGGTCCTGTCAGCAAATAGAGCAGCAAATAAACCAATCTTCGTACTTTCAAGGAGGGAAAATGTGGATACAGAAGAGCTTGGATTAAAATTTTCTCTAAACATTAGATGTGGTAGCACACACCTGTAATCCCAGCAATTCTAAAGGCTGAAGCAGGAGGATCACAAGTTAGGGGTCAACCTCAGCCTCAGAAACTTGCAAGGTCCTAAGTAACTTACCAAGACCCCATCTCAAAATAAAAAAATAAAAAAGGCCTGGGATGTGGCTCAGTGGTAAATGCCCCTAGATTAAATATTACGCAAAATTCGTAAAAAGCCAAACTCTCATCAAAACTGTGTCATAGATACCTTGAGACTGAAAGGAGATGAGCTATAGGAGACAGTTATGAATATTTAGGGAGCATGGCTTAGGATATAAAGTTGAGGAAAAACAATCATTATTCTGGAAAAAGTAAAGGACCACAGGAAACCATGCAAAGACCCAGCAGTGGATGGTGGAAAAGGGTCCCAAGGTTTAAAGAGATCAATGGAGGAATCAGCAACAGTGGAACCTAGAAATGCAGAAGAGAACACAATCCTCAGGGTGGAATAGCAGAGGGTCACTGACACTCAGGCACAGGATAAGGGATCAGACAAGTCAGGAGGAAATAGCAGGGCTCCAGATGCTCCAGAAATACCAGGGGGCTTGTCACAGTCCTTCACACTCACTAACCCAGAGAAGGGTGTTATCAGCTATAGGTGTAAGCAAATATCACAGTCATAAGGACAGGAGTACAGAGGAGGACTCAGGACACTGCAGGCCCAAGAGTCTCCAAGACAAACTCAATTCCAATGCAACTAAATTGCAATGTTCATATAATAAAATATCTTTTAATGTGCAATTGTTTGGCAAATGATTGCTGAATGGATTAAGTCAGTAAACATTAGTACATGTCTAGCTATTGGCAAATGATGATGGGTAAAAGAGAGTGATATCTACAATTGAGTTCAGTGAAAAAGCTTGTTAGGGAAAAAAAAAAAACAAAAACACTACTGGGGTTAAGAAAATTTAGCCCTATTTATTTATTTATCTATTTATTTGTTTATTTACTTATTTAGGTACTGGAGATTGAATCTAGGGAGCATTAACACTGAGCCACATCCCCAGCACTTTTTAATTTTTATACTGAGACAGGGTTTTGCTAAATTGCTTAGGGACTCACTAAATTGCTGAGGCTGTCCTTCAACTTGCAATCCTCCTGAGTTGCTGGGATTACAGGCATTCACCACCATGTGCAGCTAATTCAGCACTATTTCTATTTTTTAAAATATGCATATATGCCTGCAGGAATAGGAAAGATTGTTGAAGGAGCTGTAACTCTACTGTGTTAATGATGCTTTGTTTCTGACTAATGGAATTGGAAGCAATTTTTGTTCTCTTTATACTTTTTTTGTATTCACTGAATGTTTTTTTGTAGTGAGTATCTTCTCTTTTTATAACCCCCAAAACTAAGATATTTTCATTTTAGTAATATAAAGAATTAACACCCCAGAATATGAAGAATCACAGCCAAAAACATCATAATTGTGTGTGAAACAGATTCTTACACTGTGCTACTAACCCAATACTGAAAGGCCAAGGGGTGTGTTATGGCAGTGAATTTTTTCCTACACTATGGGGGTTTTAATTTCCATTCTGATGTCAAATGCTCACTTCTAAAGGAGATTAGCAATAGGAAGTATATGTTCATTGGTTTTTAAAAAATTGTAAACATGCCCTGGCCTTGCTTTTTCCATTTCCTTTTCTTCTTGTGGTCGGATGCTTTTCAGAATAGTTACCTCCTACTCCAATATTTCCTTATGTAAGGACTAGGCCAGCTGGCTACCCTCTTCTTTTTTTCTAACAGCCTATTAGTAGAACATAATTAGCCATTTGGAGTTACAGTGTTTACATTTCTTTTCCCTCTATTGGCTGTGATGGATTTCTATTAACTGTCTTGTTTCAGTGTATGAATGCCAATCTTGGGGCAGATATACATGCATTTAAGAGGTAGGCTTGGACCTAAAACACTGGCAGAAGCCAGTGCATTTGGAACATTTGTAGAGCTCCTTGGCAGATGCATTATCACAAGATGCAGTGTCTGAAAGCAGTGGATAAAAATCACAGGATGAGTTCCCAAAGAGAAAAGCAAAAGCTTTTGAGCTTTTCTGCTCATCTTGATGAAAGCCCATTTTGTTCCCTTTGGTAAGGGAAGACCAAATATGAATGACTGCTAATCTTGCTGATATCCAATGACGCTAAGCACTCAGAGGAGGGAATGTAGGTGGAACAGCAGGTTTGGAGAAGGTGAATAAAAATGACAAGCTGAGTTTGGAGCATGATGAGCATTGAGATTCCTGCAGGACATCCAAGCAGAGGCATCTGAAAAGTAGCTGGGTATGTGCTTTATACCTTCAGGACCTGGGAAACACATACAGACTGGACAGGCATTTGAATGGAATAGGAAAAGAAGTCACATGCCTGGCTGAGATCACAACTATTTAGAGTGAGAAGAAGCTCTTGGATGGTAGCCTGAGGAACCCCTACATTTAAAGAATGAGCAGAAGACAAAGAATCCACCAAGGAGACTGAGAAGGACTCAAGATTGGTTTTAGGCTAGCATGAATGTTACTGTCAAAATATTCGTGATTTTAGACTAATGTGGATGTGATTGTTAAAAAATTTTATAAATTTGAATAGTGCAAATAAAGATCATTTTGCTACTTTTATCTAAGTGTAGTATAAATTAATGTCATATTGGAAATATAGATTTATAAGGCTTTTCCCAAAAGAAATATAAGTACCAATAAACACATGAAAAATTTTTCAACATCACTAGTAGAAATACCAATTAAAATACACATTAAATTGGACTTTGGAGAAGGACACTGTCTCTTTGTATGTTTGTTCACTATATTACTTGGGACTGGCAAGGGTGCGATAAAGCAGGCTCTCTTATTACTACTGGTGGGACTGAGAATAATTTATCCAAATCTACTGATTCCTATAAAAAATCTTTACACTTCCTGACATAGCAACTCCATTTCTTAGGTTGACTCATATGCAATTAATTAGATTCATGTAAAGAATTAACATGAAACTTATATAAAAAGATTTATGTTGTAGCTTTTCCCTGTACTGGGGACTGAACCTAGAGCACTCTTAACAATGAAGTACATCCTCTTGCCTCAGCCTCCCAAGTAGCTAAGGTTATAAGCATTCACTAATTTGTCTGACTTGTGACACTATTTATAAAAGCAATAACTGATTTTAAAACTTGAATGTATACTTATATGGAAATAATTAAATTATCCACATTAATCTGATAGAAATGTACACAATTACTAAAAATCATGTTTTGAATAATAATATAACTACTATAGAAAATGCTCAGTATTAATAATACCAAATGAAATATGCATAATTATATTTTACTTATAAATACCCATAGACAGTTAAAGAAACATAGACAGTTAAAGAAAATCCTCATTACACTCCAAAATAATAATATTGATTACCTTGTGATGATAGAACTACAAATAAAAATTTTACTTTCTTCTTTATAACATTTCTGTTTTCTAATTTTCTACAATGCACATTGTAATTTTTATAATTTAAGAAAATACTTCTGTTATTATATTCTAAAAATACTTTAATTATTAAAAGTTCTTTCTTTTAATTTCAAAATATCTCTTTTATGTTTAAAGATATTTTCATAGATTTTTAACTGGGAAATTTGGTTCTAGTCCTTACATACTGTTTTCACAAGTTTCTACAGTGCCATTTTCAAAACAGAAGGGCACAGTGGATCAATACTAAAAGCCCCAAGTGAATACTGGCTCTTATGTAAACCAAGAAAATTTTTAAATGATATCCCTGTAAAATAAGAACCACAGATGAAAATTTATAATACTGGTATTGACTGTGATTTAGATCTGAGGCAACTAGAGACAGAGTTCCTATGTTAACTGGAGATGGTGGTTCTAAACTAGAAAGTGAATTCTGATCACCTCTGTCAATTAACAGCTAAAAAACAAATCTGAATTGTTTTCCTTTGTGTTTTTCTTCCTTTGGGCAATGCTGAATTTTATCATCTGGGAAAAAAATAAAAATAACTTGAAACCTTCTTGAAAGTGCTCTTTCCACTTTGTCACATAATGATTTTATTTATGAAATTAGTCTTCTTAAACCATATCCTAATACAAATTCACTGAGCGGCTGAAAAGAAATTATTTGTAGAGGTTTGCACATGCTTAAAGATTATTGCTTGAAATAAAGTATGTTAATTGATTATTTTAGATTATTGCATTTCAAAGTCATTTATGCTAATTAACAATTTTGCAGAATCAAGAGACATTTACAATGACTGAAACTCAAGAAATCTTTCTTAATGATACCAATGGCTTGCTCAGAGTTTTGGCAAAGATGCTGACAAAAAGCCAAGAAAAATATTGTTTTATTCAAACATGCGTAAGGATAAACAAGTCCTCATCAATTTTAAGAGTAAATGATGATAATCTTAATAATGTTGGTATACTTTTTTGGGGACGGGGGTAGATACTGGGTGAGGATTGAACTCAGGGGCACTCAACCACTGAGCTACATCCTCAGCCCTATTTTGTATTTAATGTAGAGACAGGGTCTCACTGAGCTGCTCAGTGCCTCGCTGTTGCTGAGTCTGGCTTTGAACTCACGATCCTCTGCCTCAGCCTCCGGAGCCTCTGGGATTACAGGCATGTGTCACCAAGCCAAGCAATTGGAATATTTTATGCTCACTTTTAAAAGCTTTTTCCCTGAAAAGGAAAGTCATTAACTGAATGATTAAAGAATGATTTCATCTGTATAGCTTTTAATACATTTTCTAAAAATGAAGTCACACATAAGAAAAACTTAGAAAAAAAAGAAAAAAATCATTAGATCCTGCATTCTAATTTTTGTTTTACACAAATACTGTTCAAAACTATAGATAAAAATTAATTTTATAATAAAGTTGACAAATCAAGAGCTTTGTAATGTTGTGAACAACCAATAAAAAAAAGAAAAAAAAATAATAAAGTTGACAAAAAGTCAGTGAAGAAAGAAAAATTAATATGATGAATGATGCTAAGTAACTGATTTAACTATTACTAGATAGGAAAAAAATTAATTTAGTTGCCCATCTCATGCCTTTCATCAAAATAAGTTCCAAATATAGCAAAGAGTGAAACTGGGGGGAGAATTTTTTAGTAAGAAAAAATTTTATCTGCTCTCTAAATGAAGACGGGTGAGCCAGGTGCCATGACACATGCCTATAATCCCAGCAACTCAGGAAGCTGAGTCAGGACGATCAAAAGTTTGAGGCTAACCCCAGCAACTTAAGGCCCTAAGAAACTCAGTGACACCTTGTCTCAAAATAAAAAATAAAAAGGGCTGGGAATGCAATTCAATGGTAAAGCACCCCTTACTTTAACCAAAAAAGGATAAAACATATAATCACAAAAAGAAGTTTAAGACATTAATAGTCTCTTAATTGGCCCAAGAACAAGAACAGAGGATTGCCAAAAAATAAATTTTAAAAAAGTCCTAAAACATAAAGATGTTCAACTTTACTAATATTCAAAGAAATATCAATTAAAACAATGTGCCATTTTAGTACTAAATTAACAAAGTTTTTTTTTAATGGCAACAATACATTACAGTGAAATTTATGTGAGAAAACAAAACACTCTCATACATTGCTGGCTTAGGGTGTAAATTGGTACACCGTTTCTAAAAACTCAATTAGCAACAGATAATGAGCCATAAAATGTTCACACCCTTTGCTGTAGTAATCCATTTCTAGACATCTTAAGGAAATGATCTAAAATGAGGACAAAAAAAAAATGTGAACCAAAATGTTTACTACAGCAATATGGAGAATAGAAAAAACTTCAAATAATCTAAATAAAGCAATTTATAAACAATTTGGAGTTGTTTAATTCATGGTATGCTCAGGGAGTGAGTAATGATGTCATTAAAAGTCTCTCTACAAAGAATTTTTATATTATGAATGGTATATATCTATGGTATAAATTCACACAATAAAATTCAAAATTATATCCATGGGGTAAAACATTTAAAGTACTATAAAATTCCCATGGAACTGCTTATTTTATACAATCAGAAGAAAACAGCTGCGTTTTCCCCGAATTTGGAAGGCGGATGTGGGATGGTCTGACCACAAATGCAGGTCTTGTAAGACAAAAACAATTTGCTCTCTAGCTACCAAAGAATTAGACAATCATTTTCCAGAATGACTTCCATACTTGAGCAACTGTAGATGTATTGTTCAAAGAAAGCACCCACAGGAATTTATTTCACAATCATTGCTTATTCCTCCAAACAACAAAACACTAGACAGCAAATGTAAGCAAAATAAGTATATATGGGTATACACACACATTTAAAAGGCTAGACGTGCCAGGCATGGTGGCGCACTCCTGTAATCCCAGAGGCTCAGGAAGTGAGGCAGAAGGATCGTGAGTCCAAAGCCAGCCTCAGCAAAAGTAAGGCACCAAGCAACTCAGTGAGACCCTGTCTCTAAATAAAATATAAAAAGTAGGGCTAAGGATGGGCTCAGTGGTTGAGTGCCCCTGAGTTCAATCCCCAGTACCCTAAATAAATAAATAGCTAGAAGCAAATATCCTAAAATACTAACAGTGGTTTTCTAAGAAGAGATATTCTAGAACTGTATTAATACAGTAGCCACTGGGACACATGGAGCCATTTACATTAAATTAAATAAAACTTAAAATTATTTCTTTCGATCGTACTAATCACATCTCAAGGGCTCAACAGCCACAATAGCAAGTGGTTACTGAATTGCACAGTGCAGATCCAGAATATTTCCATCATCATATAAAGATTTTTAGACAGTGCTATTCTAGATTTATTTTCTTCTTTATGTATTTTTTCCAAATTTATTACAATATGCATTGTAGTATATTCCTCTTATAAACAAAAAAATAAATACTATGGGAGAAGAAAGTGACATTAACAGAGGAAACACTCACATAGAGAAGCAGAGGAAATATTCTCTGGAGAGAACTTTGGGGAAATAACACCCTGTGGGAAAAAGCAGGTGGTCACAGGCACTCAGGGAAGAACAGGAAAGGCTAAAAAAAGACATGGGAATAATAGACATTCCAAGGAAAGAAAGGACACAGAAATTCCAACAGCAGGGGTGGGGAAGGAGGCAATTAGAGCAAGAAATCACAGGTTCTTGTCTCTCCCCACTCACCAGCCATTACAGCTGCTGACCGCTGAGCTGGCTCAAAAGGACATTTCCCCCGGCCACTCTCAAGTCTTTCAACCTGCTGGAAACTGGACACATCCTACAGACCAGAAGGGGGGCAGTTGGTTTAGGGGTCACAGGGAAGGTTCATAGTGAGAAGTACAAAGATGGTCAGATGAAAGAAAAGCCCATTCCCCTTCACCTCCCATTCCTTCTACTATTATCCCCACACTAAGTCACTATTATTGATTCCCTGCCCCCATTCTTCATTTACCGTCTCTGCTACCCCTTTTTCACAAGTTAGTCCTCTTTTCTCAATACCCACAATTTATATGCCCTGATGAAGGCCTACCTGGGATGGCCCTAAAAAAAATGCAACAAGGCTGGATATGGGTCTTTCCTCTGAAATGCTGCTGAACTGTGGAGTCTGCAACTAGCTAGAGAACATGCTACAGGACAAAGAGGACCAGAGAAGAAAGCAGGTCTCTTCAGGACTGGAGCCCTTAGGAAAGGCAAATAAAAGTGCAGGCTGACAGAGGACAGACTAAAGCCCAAGGCCTAGGGAAAAAAAAAGGAGCATCCTCCTTCTACTACCCCAAAGATGAAAGACAGTGCCAGAGCCATACATCCAAGAGGAGAAGGGAATCTATAAGGTCAATGAAGAATGACCTGAAGCTAAGATGAGAATTCAAGGATTTTAAAGGAAGTACCATCCTCTAAGGACTGACCTGGGTGGGAAGCAAGAGACCAAAGAGTTCCACCAGGGCCAGTCAGAAGCTACCTTAGTCTAGCATCCAGCACTAAGAAATCCTTCAAAAAAAATCTAAAAATGGAAATTGCAGATGATTTCAACCTAGGACTGAGAGGGAAGTCAACTATGGCTGACTGGGAATCAAAGTTACAGCACAGAAATGCCAGGTATGCTATCAGTAGCTCACAAACTGGTGTGGCTATGGCTTAATTACTGTGATGTAGAATAACAGAATTAACAGAATTTAATCAAAGAGTAACATAGATCTATATCTCTCGAGCTTAGTATACTACCAGCCCATTCAGACTCCTCATCTCTTTTCTGTAGATGCAAACAAGATTTTATTTAATCGAGACACTCTTGAAGAGGGCCTATTAAAATGAGATGTCTGAGGTGTCCAAATTAGGAGATATTGGGTCCAAAGAGCCTAATGGATTGCCACAGAGGCACAAGTGCTCCACTTGTATGGCAGTGGAAACATCTTCCCCTGAAGAAAAAGGTAACAAGTTTGGTGATATCAAGGTGTTTGGGCACTCTGGAAATGTAGTAAATACCTGCTGCTTGCAGCTGCCTTCTTCCCTCTCACCTGAATGATAGCAGTGCCCTCCTTTCTCCATGCTCTCTGGTCCCATCCCCAGTTTATTTATATATCCACTCCAGATTAATCTTCCAAAGTATCAGCCACTGACTGGATAGTAGATTTTGGAGAAAAGGAAGACAAAAAGGCTCACCATTGCCTGGAGTACAAATTCTAGTCCAACCTATATATTTTCCACTGCTTCTCAAAATGATCTTTGTTCTAGCCAAACCAAATCACCTATTATTCCTAGAAAACAAATTATGTTGTCTCATTTTTATGCCTAAAACTGCTCCCTCACATTTTACCAAAGACTAAAAAGATGAGTCTCTTCTCAGTTCTCACTCTTCAGTCATCACATACCATTTGTTACTTATGATTCATTCTCCTTCTTGAAATATTCTATTCTTTGGCTCTTGAAACTCTTATCTTCTTGGAGTCCTTTCTCCTATCTAATTGTCACTTCTCTAGCTCCTTCTTTTTGAGCCTCTACATGTATATTCCAAGAATCTATCCATAATCCTTTTCATATATCTTTCAAAGGTCTCATTCATTCTTGTATTTCCAGTCTTTCTATGAAATCATTCCTCAAACTCTCCAGGTCTGATGTCTTCCAAACCCTAGTTCATGTTTTCATTTGACTGCTAGACTTTCTCAAAGAGATTGCTTATCAACCCTTTACAATTCAATGGGTCAAAACTAGCCCCCTCATGCCATCATCATGTCATCTAGTCTTTGAGAAAGTGAGCATTCTATTAACTAGACATATTGTGATTATTCTATGGTCAAAATAACCTTCAACTGGAGTGTGAAAAGGGCAAGACCTTTCTAATATATCCTCTGCAGAATATAGAGAAATAGATCATATAGAACATATAGATTATGTGTTGCATCATCATGGTGTCAGTTAGCACAGTCTCTCAAAATCAGTTGCAATGGAAGCAAGTCCCTCAAACTGTAAGCCATGGCTGATAGAAAGGTTCTCATGAAAGCACTGAAGTTAGAACTAGTTCTTTGGTCTTTGTTGAGGTGGATAGAAGGCATATAAAGGACCTCGCCCAAATGGTAGGTAAATAAAAAAGATGAGGAAAGATAGCTCCTGGTACACCAAACATGTCAAATGCCACAAGAAATGGAAGCCAGATAAGGTCTTTGGGAATGTGGCCTGAACTAGTAGGACAGGACAGTAGAGCAGAACCAGACAAACCTAGGTTTCAATTTTGGTTCTGCCTCTGCTAGCTATATAACCTTAGATATGGGACTTAAACTTCTCTGAACTCTGTCCTTACTTACAAAATGGAAACAAATAACACCTAAATATCATGATGTGGTTACAAAAAATTAAACAAGAATATAAAGTAGTGATAAGCCTACATAGATACTGGACGCAATGGTCATCATTATTGTTAGCAGCTAAAATTTTTTTCTGGTAACTGCTGAAGTTCCTTCAACAAATCAAATTAAACTATGTTCCCTCTACCATCTGATAAGCTGGCAATGAAGGACAGTACTTCAAAGTTGGAGCTGTTAGATACAGCACTTAAACTTCCTTTTTATAAGAACCTTCATTTCTCCATGATCAGCTCTGAGCAAGTTGTTGTGTAAAGAGCAAAACTCAGAAAATTATACATAGTTTCAATGCCATCTGTCTAGGACATGAGCCATTCAGCACTAAGGATAAAGCCAGAACTTGGTCAAGGAGAGTGAGTTTGCTGGGTAGCAGGATAAGGCTCAGGGTGTGGCTTGAAGGGTTAAGCTAATCTCTTTCTCGTATAAATGAGTTTTGATCAAAGAATTTGATGAGTCTGTTAGATAAGAGGATACAGAGAAAGAGTCAGATTGGTGAGAGTGCAGAATACAGAACCCTGGCTTCACTCTTCATTGATGACATTCCTCAAGAATGGATAGGGATCCAAGTCACACCAATCCTAACAGATATGTCCAGAACATTCTCCATCTAGATATCTTATCTAGATGTGTATCAGTACTACTACTACTTCAAGCTTGATGAGAACTGAAGGAAAGTAGACCCTCAATATTACCTAATGGGGTGTAAAGATTTTCAACATCAACCTGAAATAAGAAACCTTCCCAGGATGAGAGAACTATCCAGACCTTTGGAAGGAACCCATCAGCTGCTTTATGTGAAAGGACTTAACCTAAGTTCAACTAACTCCAAGGGTCACCAGAGGGACTGGAATTTGAAGCATATGCAATTATAACATTCTAACCCCAAGATATGAGGCTGGTCTGTAACAAAGAGGCGTTTGGAAATACATACTGACTTGATCCAGGTGGATTACTGGATCAAAGCAAACTACAGAACAGGGCAGTTAAGATCCACAGTTAAGGATGAGGATCAAGAAAGAGAGCTGTTGTACTAAATAGAATACAAAAGACATGTGAGGTTTTTTACTCACCTAAGACCTAGGCACAAATGTGTGGTGCTAGAGGACTGTGCTAACAATGTTTAACTGATGTAGAAAGCTGAAAGTTCAAAAACAATCACCATCCCAGGAACAGGGCAGTGTCTAGACTAGATGTCATTGGGTGTTCATGTGTCCCAAGATTGCCTAGGATTGAGGGTAATGAAGCCCAGGTTTTCAGCAGCAATGAACAGGATCCAGAATAAAAGGTGGTTGACAGAGTATCCACCCTGAAGGCCAGAGTACTGGGCATCACATTAGTGGGCAGTGACATCAGAAGGTATAAGAGCTGAAAGTCAGAGCCTACACAGAATGAGGTTGACAGTGGAGGGAAGGGAAGGGAAGGGGGCAAGAAACAATCACATGCTATAGAAGGAAGAAGGAGGCATGGGCTACACTGATTAAGAAACAGGCCCAAGGTGCCTGGCCAAAGTATTCATAGGGCAACAGAAACCTAATTTTCTGCTTTCTAAAGGCTCTCTTGGATCTGGCCTCTCCCAAGCCCAGCCAGCATCCCTAACTTCATTTACCATCTCACTGCATCTCATACCTCACCCTATACAGAAAACTTCCCTGTCTCCCTTCTTCTTTTACCCTCCCTCAGTAGCTGACACAGGCTCCACCCTGTGAGGACACCCCTTATCCCAATGCTTATCATGCACAGTATTTGTTTTAACCATGCCCCACTTGGTCACTCACAGAAAACCCTTCCCATCCTCCTACCCACCACCCCGACATAACTCACATTGGTGCAGGCTCCCTCTCCCTCTCCTCCCACCCCTGTCACTCACAATAACCCCGCACTTCGGATCAAAAGCGAAGGTGCCACAAGTGAGGAGATGAGAGGCATTGACAATGGCGAGAATCTGGATAAAATTGTGACATTCGTCCTGGGGGTTAGAGATGGTTAGAATCAGAAGCAGCAGGTACAAGGAAGGGTAAGGTAGGATCAAGACAGTTAGATGCAATTTGGGGATTAGGGATGACAGGTGATGGTATCAGCATCCCTGCCTGGGATGAGAGAACTCCAGGGGAGTTCAACTGACATCAACTCAGGGATGGGCCAAGTTCTCAAGGACTCTCAAGACAGAGCCTGAATTTAGTTACACCTACCTCTTTCTTGCCTTTCTTCCTACAGTTATGTCTGTGAGCCTCAGGCACCATCCAGTCAATCTGAGAAAGGAGTAGTGACCATTTTCCCCAGGTCCCCCACCCCAAACTCCCTTGAGATCAGTTTGACAACCTCCATCAATTTGTGAACTTCTGACATCTCCTAGAGCACTGTTTTTTAATTTATTAATGGAAGATTCCAACCCATTAGTAAGTAATCAATTGTGAAACCACAACCAACATTGTTTTAATGAAATAGAATCTATCCAATGTATCACACATATAGAAGAGCCAATACTATTTCAAGGAAAGTTTCCTTTAAGTACACACTTGTGTACCGGTAACAATATAGTACTAATGTGTGACCAAAAAAGTTTGGAAGCTGTTTCCCTAAAACCCAGACACTGTAGCCTCCTCCCCATCACCCTGAATCTCTCCCATAGTCTCCCTAGATATCAAGACTCTATCCCTATCACTTGGCTAAGATAGTGGATAATCCCTCCCTTCTAGTATCACTACTGTTATATCTTGAGTTATTATAAAACTCCCCCACCCACATTCCATAAAACTATGGCTCTAACCACATGCTATAGGGCCTGGGGACCTCCCCACTCTCATCACTCACCCTTCGAGATCTTTTCCCTAAGAAAGGCAGGGATAAAGCGAAGATGGTATCCCGGGCGCCAACATAAAGTGTGTGGGAAGCAGGATCCACAAGCAGAACAGAGTAATTGTATATATGAGGAACAGCAAACCGGGTGAGATAGGAGTCAGCCTCTGCAGAAAGGGAAGGGGAAAGGGAAGAATGATATCAGCTATTGCTTCGTAAGGGTTGGATCTACTACAGCAAAGCCGAAAGGCCAATTTTTGTTTTCTTCCAAAATATCATTTATATGGCAGCAATCAGGGAAAAAACAGCACCTTGACAGGTCGACCATCTACACTACCCCAAGACAACTGATGATGTCAGAATATTTAGCATGCAATCCAGTCAAGTATGCTTTTTCCATAAAAATATAAATAACAGCATAAATATTAAGAATATGATTTCTATTCATATCAATGTGATCCCTAAGAAAATACACCTAAAAAGGTATAAGTACTATTCTAAATTGTGGGGTTTTATTTTTGAACCCTGCTTAATAGTAACTACTTTTTACTTATAAATGTTTTACTCTTTTACCAATACATTCGGAGTCTACTTCCTCTCTCAGCCACCTTCCTTGACCTTCCCTCACCCTATTTCACTTAAAAAGGTGTAGTTTAGTGTAGTGGGAAAAGATATGTGTTTCAGAAATGGACCAGTTTGGATTTAAATGTGGCTCTTCCACTTACTATATGATCCTGAATACATTACTTGCCCTTTCTGAGCATCATTTTCCTCATCTGTAAACAACACCATCCAGGATTGTTGAGAGAATTATGTGAGATAACATATGTGGAAGCACCTGGCATGTACTACACATTTAACAAATAGTCCCTCTCTTCTTTATGGCTACATTCTGCTTTGGCCAAATCTAACCCCTTTCAGCATTCAAAACTCATTTTAAAAATAACTTCATATGTGTTTACCTTCTTAGCTTAATCTAATTCTGAGGATCCTATCCCTATACAACTCTGCTCTATAAGTTTCAGCTGGTCGAGTGTCCTCGTGGTGATACCTAGCCATCAACCCATTCATTCCTAGCTATGCTGAGGTGAGCCCCACCCATCCACTGTTCCACTGGTGCTTATTTCTGCACTGTATTCTTCCTGCTCTCTCATGCTTAGTATAAGTTCTGAATTACCCAACCTCCTTTGTTTTCCCTGCTCTGCTTCACCTTGCCTTCTAGACATCTCTGGATTTCTGGACATCAATTCAGCCTGGCAACCTCAACTTATTTTTTAGCTATTGTTCCAGCACAAACTGAAACCCCAGGCTCTGACCACAACTTTGCCCTGGAGATTCAAGCATCCCTATATGTTTCTGACCTGAGTTTAGACTCTAAATTACTGTTACCCAGTTGTAAGCTTTTGCCAAGGGTACTCTTGGTTTTTACTGGTTCTGTCTGCCTCCATACCCACTAAGAAGAAAACAAAGGTCCATACCACACTCATGCCCACCTCAACAGAGTCTCTAAAATGTGAATGACCACTTTTAACCTTGTGGTATCTATCCCCTGGCTTCTTTCACATCTTTTCCAAGGACCTGGTCCACTCTTCTTTTTTCCTTCTGAAGACTTCCAAAACCATTTAAGCAAAACTTAACTGTCAACTGATAAAATGGTTTCCAACAGTCGATGCAGGGAATGATCAGAGGGAGCACAGAAGGTTCAGGGAGTTAGGGGGTTAAAGTGAATCTGATTCATGGAAAAATGGGAGCAAGTGTCAGAGATGAGAAGGGACTGAGTTTGGAAGACTGAGGTGGTGAGCTGGGTAAGAGGCTTGATAGCAGAGGGTGCATTGAACTGATCATAGGGAAATGAAGTTCAGAAAATGTAAATGCTGAGCTGGGGATCCAGGGAGTGGTTGAATTAAAATGAAAGAATGAAAGGCCTGGGAATGGAATGGGCTTCAAACTGGAGTGTTCGACACAGGTATAGGTACGGGGGACTAGGGGAATAAGGGAGAAGGAACTTCTAAATGGACAACCCCGATGAACTCCCAAGCCCACCTAGGGCCTCAGTATCCTCCTCTGCATGGTAAGGGATTGACCTATCTAGCGGTCCTGGAAATAAGGGTCTGAGGGAGCAACCTGGGTGTGTCGTGGATGCCGAGGCGCGAGGCCCGGGCTAGGGCTAGGGTGAAACAGCAGAGTGCCGGGGTCTTGTCTGGGTCCCTGAGGGGCTTAGGCGCTGCGGGGGGCACGGTCCAAGGCGTTGAGGGGGCCGTGGTGCTGCTCTCCAGGATAGGAAGCGGGTGGGTGTGAACAAGTGCGGGCGAGGGCTGCGCGCGGCGCAAAGGGCTGAGGACGAAGGCGTCCGCACCTTACCAGAGATGGGAAGCGAGGTCCTGGGCACAGAGCGTGAGACGCGGCCGGACACGGTGCCGCTCAACACCGCCAGCAGGAACAGTGGCAAGGGTAAGACCCGAGGTGGCCCTGGGCCCGGGCGGGGCCGCGAGGCAGAGGCCAGCATCTTTGGCTCCGCCTGGCTGCAGGGTGGGGCGCGTCCAGCCACCTCGGCTCCGGGCCACTGGGCCGCTGGTCTCGGCCTCACTCGGGTCCTCTCGGCGCGGCTCGGCCGGAGGCGAGAGACGAAACCCAGCCCGGCTCCGCCCATCTAAAAGGAACCAATGTCGGGCCGTTTTCCTTTCTCCAGCCAATCAGAATTGAGTACAGGAGGGACTGAGAAGGAGAGGTTCATCCCAGGCAGAGGTGAAGCCAGACCCAGGTATAGGTGGGAATTCTACCTCTGAAGCAGGCTGGAGGTGTCACTTCAGGACCTCCGGTAGCGAGTTTGCTCCAGTCACTCCACAAACCCAAATGTCCATAACTGCAGGGAAAATACGTGGGTAAATGGATACAACCATCAAGTTTCTCAGAATTATTACACAATCACCAACACAGAGATACACACACACACACACACACACACAAAAAAAAAAAAAAAAACACTAAAAATCACAGTCCTTATCCTTAACTAGCTCAGGGTCGTAATGGAGCTCCCAAATGTAAACAAACTACGGAAAATAGGTAATTGCAATACAAAATTATGCATGTTTGCTGTAGTAAGGTGCCCCAAAGGGGATGTAGATTTTTTTTTTGCCAGAGAAAAGCAGAAAGGTTTTTACAGAAGAGGTGACATTTGAACTGAGCCTTCAAAAACGAGTAGAACTTTGAGATTGAGGGACAAAAACTGCTCACTTGGATATCCTACATACAAGGCAAATACAAGTCCTGACCATAACTTACTATCCCCTACATCCTAATCCCAGTTCCTCCTTCAAGCACTTAGTCTTTAACTTATAGCCTCTAATTTATAGTATTTATTGCTTCCTCCTTTCATCCCCTTTGTATTAGTTATCTAGGCTGCATAACAAATGTAACAAATTCACTTTCAGGATTTGGTAGCTTTAAACAAAAACAAATATTTATCTCTGCAGATGGGGCTGCAGTCATTTAAAGGCTTCACTGGGGCTGGAGATCCACTTCCAAGATGGCTTACTTCCATGCTTGGCAAATTGGTGCTGGATGTTGGCAGTTGTTCTTCACATAGATTTTGTGGGTTTGCTTGAATGTCCTCACAACATGAGATGGCTTCCTCAAAACAAGTGATCAAAAAAAGCAAGAAAAAAAGCCACACTGTATTTTATGACTTAGCCTCAGAAGTAATTAATATGTGATCGCTTCTGCCATATTCAGTTGGTCACACAGATCACCCCTGATGTACCATGGGAGGGGGACTTTACAAGGGTGAATATGAGGATTTCAGCCATGGAGACTGGCTACCACACCCATATGTATGCAGCCCCATATCTTGGTAATTCTGATTATAAATAAATCTGTCCTTTTCCTTCCATTATCATTTATCATTTAGGACTTCATCATCATTCACCTGGACTGTGAAATAGTTTCATTTTAAGATACTATTTGCTCTGATTTGATCATTATACACTGTATACATATGTCAAAACACCACATTACACCCCCACAAACTTGAACAATTATGTATCAATTAAAAATAAACTAAAACTTGTGAAAAGTAAAAAACAACCTTTTCTCCATTCTCTCCCCTTCCAGATTGCTGTCAGAATAATCTTCATAAAGCACAAGTTTTAGTTTATTCATTTGAAAGTTTGAGGGTCTATTATGTAGTAAACATTTTGATAGGTACTAGAGATATAAGACATAGTTCTTGAATGCAAATTGCTTATTCTAAAAAATCATATTCTTAAGATTAGTACCGTAGATCTTTCTGAAACCTTTCCTAATGCAAACCTTAACACATGGGGACCTTCCTTGAGTTTCTTCCTCTGGCACCAGTATATACCTCTCTTTAGGTGCTCTACAACAATCTATTAGAGGACTTAGTTCCTTTTTTGACAATGAGTTAGGTGTTGATTTTTCAGTCTTTTTATTTTTTTCCAAAAATCTTTTTTTTTCAAATTTTATAGCAACACACAAAAGTTCATTTTATATTGCAACCTAATCACATTTAAGTATATACATTCATAACATTACTGAAATGAATTTTTCACAAAATCATACTTCCATCATGTTTTCCATCAGGAACTAAATTCTAGTGTTTTCTATTGTGTTGCATTTTATTCTATTCCATTTCTTAAATTGCTGGTTGCAGTCCACTAAATTGATTTTTAATACTCATCAACAAATTGTGATCCCTACTTTTCACTGTTCTAGGTAGTCTCATTCATACTAATTTAATTACTACCAACTTCCTAAATCTTTATTTCCAGGCCATATTTTTCTCTTCAGATGTTGACACATACATCCACTATCTGTGGACATTTCCACTCATTTTAACACAGGCATCTTGATTTCAACATGTTCAAATTGGGACTGTCATCATCACCCCATTCAAACTAGGGTAACTGGGTGGATGGTGGAATCAATGTTCTTTATCTTTTGACTTAGCACCATTATCTTTTCAACCAGGGATTTTGCATTCATTTATTCAATAAATATTCATTGAATGCCTACTATGTTTTAGGCCCTGTCATTCTGGATTCCTCCTAATCCATCCAATCTCCAAGCCTGTTTATTTTAACTCCTAACTATTTCTACCTACATCTCAGCATCCTCTTTAACAATCTCTAATCCAAGTCAGTATGTTCTTTTGCCTGAGCTATTTTCTACTCCAGTCTTGACCCATGCCCAGTTACCATCACCCCAACTTCAGCACTCAATCCTTTCCCCTGGGGCAGGTAAGTGTTCTGTCCATTACACAAATCAGGTCATGTCACTCTTTTTCTTACACACTTAGTTGAATCCATCCACTCTACCTTGCATTTGCCATGGGATAAAATCCAAAATCCTTAATATGATCCACAAGATCTTACCTGTTCTGGCCTTTTGCATACCTCTCCTGCTTCATCTTTACCACTCCTCTCCACAAAACTATATCCCACACTGGCTGAGCTTCTTCATTTGCTCAGAATTCCTTCCAAATGGAATGCTCTCTGTGCCCCTTGCTTGGCTAGCTCACATTTACTTTTGTTCATCACTTGAAATGATAATCCCCTTTTCCAGGAAGTTTACCCCAATTCTTCAAGTGTATACCATCCTATGTGCTCCCATAACTTGTGTTTTCTCTGCTGTCACACATATAATGCCACATTGTCATTGCCTAAGTACTGGTCTGTTCCCCATAGACTAAGTCCAGGAAGACAGAAACAATTATATTTTCAGAGCCCACCAGTACCTGATATATACTCGAAAGTCAGCAAATATTTGGTGACAATTTGCTTAATACCTCTCTCAGTGCTTATTAAATTGCTTAAATATTTAAATGTTAGTTTTGTTTCTCCAAAAAGCAGATAAGATTAATGGTATAAGGATTTTATTAGAAGAAACACCTGAGAGAAAAATGTGGAAAGGGTCAGGAAAGGACAGGAGAGAGGTCACACTGTGATGGAAGAGTTTGACTCCCAAGGAAAAAGAAAGACTAAGAATGTTCAGACAAGGCTGTTAAGTACATGTGGAGTCAGAGTTGACTGCTAGAAGAATTCTGTTTTCCAGGAACAGGTCTGCTTTATCCCTATCATACTCCATCATTGGCTGAGAGCACCCTGTGGGAAGAGAAGTCTCTGGGCAATATGGCAGTAGATTTCTAAGGCTGCAATCAATCCGCTAGTCAGTAACCCTCCTTGTACTTTAAGTGTCTAAGCACTTTCATATGGCATTACAGTTGGTTACCCTCAGAGAATAATTCTTCAAGGAATTATGTAATATTCTCCCACACTTGGCACAATTCTTTGCACATTTTTTCAATAAATCCTGTTCCAGATGAATAGAGGGTAAAGGGAAAAAAGTTATTGTAGCTGAGTGTGGGAAGCCATTCTAACACGTGATTGAGCGACTCCCGTTAAGGGCCTGAGGCACTTTGGCAAAAGTCGAAGTTTTCCGGACCCTTTCCTGATGAGAGAGCCCATCCGTGTGGGGGTGTGCCTGACCACTGACCCCGGGGACCCAATCACTGACCCTGACCTTGGAGTGCAGCCCCCCCTCAACCTTCATTGGATGGAATTCTCCCCTGATTCTCTTGTTCCCCAATAAAAGGCTGATCCCCATCATGCTCGCTTTCTCTCTCCTGCTAGCCCTGAGTAATCCCTGCTGCACTGCTGGGCGGTTGGAGGAGGGAACCAGAGGGGAGCCGTCTCAGACCTAGCAATAGAAATAAGGTAATTGAGTCTGTGTTTTTATTTCGATCTCTTCTAACTAACTTTATGCCTAGAACCTCATTAATGAAACCACTGCGCAGGCCGCGTGGTAGAAGTTTCTCTAGGTGCTTGTATGGGAGAGGATCCAATAGAAAGAAATTATTTAATAAACAATAAATTATTTAATAAACAAGTAGGAATCCTGAGTT